CTTCTTGGATCTGTTTTTTTTTTCTTTTTTGAAGATGGAAACCACCGTCTGGTAGGTAGAGAGAGGAAGGGAGGTGGCAGGATAGACTTGCGCCGCCTGGTCCTTTGGCTGCCCTGCCTGTCTTGGCCACTCTCCTCCTTGCCTGAAAGTGCATCCTACTGGCACTGCCCTTATCTCCCAAGTGTCTGCCCTGGGAAGCCCTGTAAGCCATTGTGGCCGTGGACAAGCAGATGGTGGAGGGAGCAGGTGGGTGGCTTTGGTGGGTATCTGGCAGGTGGAAGGAGGCAGCAGGGGAGGCTTGCACTGCCAGGTCATGGTGCAAGCCATGGGAGAGTTGGTGGAGGAGAAGGAGGTGGTGGCAGCTACCAGGCAGGTGATCTGCAGGGCGAAGCGGGGGCAGCCATAACTGAATAAATCCCTTTCAGTGGCACAGTGGTGGGGAAGCCTTTCGCCGTCACTCCTCCTGGCTCTGAAATGGTGGAGGGGACCCAGGTAAGGCGACTGAGCCTCCCCTGCCTATCCTCCATAGCATGGCAGTCCGGCCAGAGAGGGAAGTGAAAGGGAAGAGGCAAGTGGCAGTCAAGTCATTGAATGGGTAGGGGGAGATCACTGAGCAGGGAGTGGCTTGGCTGCAGGGGTCCTGTGGTAAGCAGGTGCATTGTGTGTGGGATGGCACCAGTTCAACATGCACTCTTCTGTCCCATTGTGGTAGTAAGCAACCAGATGGTGGGATGGCAGGGTAGAAGTCGCAAGTCAGACATCCCTCAAAAATAAGCGCTAGTGGGTCTTTTAGTCCATATAAGATCAGGTCTTATTTTCGGGGAAGCCTGATAGTAAGGTACTCAGTTACATTTTTGATTTTTACTCCAGGGAGACTATATACCTCCCTAGACTGAGTGTCTGATCTACAGATTATAGTTTGTGTTCCCCTAAGAATTTAATCTCCTATCACCAACATTGGCCTTTTTTTACCTAGGGAAGTCTGGAATACTTTTCTATCTGTCGCAGGAATACTGGGTTGTGCCTCTTTTTAAAGAAACTATTGATGAATGCTCTTTTGTGAGTGTCTGTATATTTTTCCAAGGGGAGGCTATGAAAGTGATTGTTCAATTCCAGAGGGGCCTCATTGGAGTGGGTTAGGATAGATAGAAGAAAACCACCAAGAACAAAGCCCCTACTAAGACTAACATGTTTCCATCAGTCTTACTCTTTAGGTATATATGTACAGTAGGCTTGTTTTTTCAGAAGCTGTTTGTCCCTATTGCGTTCAATTTGGATGTATCAGTTTTCTTCTTTATGTTCGGATATGGGGGGTCATCTTTTTTTTTAGAACCTGTTTGCTTCCTATTGTGTTTTATTATCCCAGACCCTTGAGAAGGACTAGATAGGAGGATAACAATTCCAAATCCAGTTTAAACATCTGGTTGATTGTGTAACCAACCATAATAACAATTAAATGTTTTTGTTCAGCATTATGATCAGCTTGATAACTATTATGTATCAACTAATACATAATAGTTCTCCAGGTTCATGTGATCATCATTTGTGATCTTTCCAGGGATCTTCTGACAAACAATGTCAATGGAAAAGTTGGATTCACTTAACCACTGCATGATTAGCTTAATGCTTTGTGATTTGTTACAGGAAAAAAGGCGATAAAATCAGGGGCAACTACCTGAACAACTTCATTGCTTAGTAATAGAAATTTGACTTCCACTTAAAGATTACCTGTATAGTCTTTCTTTCAGATGTACCTAGTTTACCTAGTGTAGAATTTAAAACAAGCATGACTATTAACTTCAGTGTCATTCATAAAGCATAAGTGTCATGCAGTTCTCTCATTAGCAGATGAAAATATGTTGAAATAAAACTCTAAAGCTGAACTAAAGTATAATAACCAAAATTAAAATGAACTTTGCATCCCAAATTAGGAATAAAAAGAGTCCATTTCATCTGGTGCTCTCTGTCTCTCTCTGTCTTTCTCTGTCTCTGTCTCTGTCTCTGTCTCTGTCTCTGTCTCTCTCTCTCTCTCTCTCTCTCTCTCTCTCTCTCTCTCTCTCTCTCTCTCTCTGTGTGTGTGTGTGTGTGTGTGTGTCTCATTCTTCCACCAAATTACAGACTGAAAAATGTCTTGGGGAGGACCATTTAGGAAATTTGGGTATGCATTTATATATTTAATCATTTTCCAGCAAATTAAATTGTTCTCCATGTTTCCTAGGTTATTGAATAATGAAGTTTATATGTAAATTTGAAATTAGTCATTTTGTTACCTCTGTCTCTCCAAGTCCATGATGAAAACATGTTGCAAAATCTTATTTAATTAAAAGCAAAGAATAAAACTGCACAAAGGTTTGAATTCATTAGTGGAAAAGAAAAAGAAATAATAGGAGTTATTTCCTTTTCTCATATTTTACATACCTTCTAAAATATTTGCATTTAATAAATTACCCTATGATCCTCTGTAGCTTTACAAGTACCAGCTAATTGTATACACAGTTTTGTATGCATATTTTTAAATAAATATTCAGCATTGATGCCTCAAGGAAACTTTCCTCCATTTTTGTCACCTTTGTGCTGCCAATTGACTGGCTTATCATGAAATAATGAGGCCCTCACAGCTCCAATTCTTAGAATATATTGCAACTGCTCATGAAGAATACTTTTCATTTTATTTTATGTTGGCTAACAGATCTCAAAGCAACATCAGAAAATCTAGCTATGTTGGTTACTAAGAATTAATGCAAGCTTGATGGTGCATTATCATTCAGTGACAAATAAAATAAATTTGACTACTTCCAACACCTCAGACGTTCCTTTATCTAGCTGAATTGGCTGATATGATTTGTAATCGCTGCAAGATTGATATAATTATATCAACGGGTATAATTTCCCTGTTCAAAATTACTAAGATCATATAAGGACCCACTTCAACTAAGCACCCAAGAAAGCAGAACTCTTGAAACAGGCATTATCTCAAAAGGATACTTTTTTTAGGGGTTAGTGACAGTAGAGAAGTCAAGGCGAGATCAGGGGAAAAGCTTGCTGAAACGGTATAGTTAAGTAAGCAATATTCCTCTTCCCACCATAGTCATAATGTCCATTTGAAATCCAGCCAATCCACAGGTGGTCTGAAGAGTCGGTAACTGGCACAGTTGGCGTGCATCTCAAGGTCTTCTCCAGTTTCCTTTCTCTATAACCATCTCCCTGATAAGGGACACATTCCTTTCTCAAAGGGATGGAGGCAGGAGGAGAGAGTAGAAAGCAAAAGGTATCCCAAACTAATGCAAAGTTCCCCCTCTCCCCAGCAGAATGGCCGACCCCACAAGTAGAGTATATATGCAAGGCAAAGAATAAGGTTTGGGGACCTGACAGATCAATTACTAAGGATTTTAACACAGTAATTTTGGAAGAAAATTTATATTCACAGTTTAGCAATTAAAAACATCTAAATCAGATATACATTTCTTGCTAACTTTTAAACATTTTCCTGCTTCTACCTTTCTCTAAAGCTTAGTTAAACATAAGCAGCTCTATGTCAGTTGGCATTGAACAAAATGTTGGCATTATTTTGTGTTTTTAAAATGGATCATTCAGGGGTTGACTTATTCTTTTTTGTGTTCATTTTCTTAGTCAATAAATATTTTTATTTACTTTTATGTATGTGTTTGTGTTCTAAGATGCATGTATATTTCTGTAGTCAAGATAACATTGTGATTTATGTATCTATTATATGAATATATATTTTGTTTTCCCATTCAATTGTAATTAATATTGTTTCCTGATTGACCATTTTTTAAAGACTTGATTCTATTAGCTATTAAATAGCCAATGACTAGGAAAATGCAGAGTATCTTTTTATTTTACCAAAACAATAATAATTTATATTTACTTCCTTCAGTTTTGGAAAACAAATAAAAAGTAGGCCATTTTTCATTATCATTTACGTACTTTACTGCAAAAACACATTTCCTTAGTTCTTGAAGTTTTAAATTTGAGTCAACATTGAACTGAGAACATATGGTCTTCCAGATGTTGTCTTGCAGCTTTTTCAGACCCAGTCGCCATAATCCAAACAGCACCTGGATCCTATATGCTTGGAAATGAGTCTAACAATACTGGTAAAATGAATAAAATGACAATAAATCTCTTTTGTAGAGGAACTGCTAGTTCATTTCTAAGATGCATGAAGAAAATAAGGAATATGTACAAATTCCTCTGAAAGGGGAGACTGCCTTAAAATAAGAGACATCTGGCAATTTAAAATAGAGTTAACAGTCCCCAAAGAGTTCTTCTCTTACTTGAAAAAAGTAAGCCTAACAAAGTTGAAGCAATCTCCCATTATATGTCCAGTTCTAGGTCAAAGAGGTTTATATAACCTTGCCTTTGACGTGATTAGTCTTAGCTGGTAAGCCTGCAGAATTAGATTTACCCCATATGGACCAAATAGATTAACATGCTTTTTAATAAACTACTTTTAGCTATAAAAGTATATTTTGTGGAGCCAATTATTGTTATTGCTGAAACTCGTAAGATGCTGAATTGCTTTCTATTTGATTTTTGGATCATTAGGTTACTGTCAATATATAATTAAATGATACTTTTTCTGGAAATAAGTCTGAAAAAACATATATTCTATATACTGTTTTCACCCAAAAACAAGACTGGGTCTTATATTAATTTTTACTCCAAAAGACACATTAGGGCTTATTTTCTGGTTAGATCTTATTTTGGGGGAAATATGGTATTAAATGTGTCTAACTGAGAGCACTCTCCCAAAATTCCTAGAGATTTTTGAACTTGAAATTTCAACACATCTGGAGAGCAGCTTCAAGAAAGATGCAACATAAACTTAACCAAAATTTTAATGAGTTTAGTAAATCATATTTATATAGGACTACAATTTTGTGCTGAAAACAAACAAAAAAAGACATTTATAGCTGACCAAATAGAACTAGGCTAAAAAAGGGGGAGAAAATTATTTTTGTTTATTGGATTGATTCTACACCTCAATTTAGAGGGGGAATTTATGCATTTTCAATTGATATGTAAAAAGTAATCTCAATATCTACCTGGGTGAAGAATGTTTCAAAGGAAGGGAAAAATTACATCTGGGTGAACACCTCTGCCCCATGGGTGAGAGGCGGGGAAAAGAGTAGAAACCAAGCCCAGTGGATGAGACAACATAGGAGAAAGAATTTTCAGAGCCAGAACTCTACCACTTAACACAGTGAAAGGCCTTGAAAGGTATACATGTATGTGTCTGTGAGTGAGTATGTCTGTGAGTGTGTGTGTGGATATCTTAGGGGTGAGAGAGACATAATAGAGGCTGACTGATTCCAGCTGGCTGCTGGGGCTGCAATTAGACAATGGGAAGTTCTGAAGATACCAAAATACAGAGACTGAAAGTAACCAGGAAAGTGGCAGGTATGGTGTTTAAAGGGACTGTCTGAAGAGGGGAATGGAAGATTGTTGTAGTGAAGAAAGACAGAAGTAGATAGAAACCTGTTACAGGGAAAAGCACTATGGAATTTGATTTTTGTCCTTTTAGCTCCTAGTCATGACCCAATGTCATAGATACTGTAAGCCCTAGGCTAAAGCTGGTTTTCTTGAATGCAGACCCATATGTAATAAAAATTTCCTCATTTATAACAATGTGCTGAAGGAGAGGGCTGGATTGAATATATCACTGAGATCTAGCTGGATGACGATTGAGGATTTCTTCTGTAGTGAATCTGCCCAGAAATGGTTTCAGGAAAGGATGAGTGGTAATTATATTATGTTAGAACTTGGTGGTAACCAAAATTCTTATCTGCAGGTGACAAGATGAGATCTCCTATATGTGAAGTTGAGATCTGTGGAGCTTTGATATTTTGTCAAGAACAAAGATGAAACAATCCACGAAACACCAAGAAAGTTTCTATACAAACAGTAAGTGCATCTTGCTGGGATTCAGTTCCAGTATGTTTCTTCCCAATTAGTTAATCATAGTTTTCAAATATCACTTCAGGACATTTATCTTGTTCCTGCTCAGCCTGGGGTTGAGATCTAAAGTTTTGAATATCTGAACATAGTGAGAATACTTAACCCTAACTAAATTTAAGATCTTTCCTAGTGACTTCATGTAGATGTTAAATAATCAAGTCCTAAAGAATCCCAAATTAGAATGTCCAAAGTCTTAAACTGTACTCCTACAAGAATACCAATCGTACTTTTCACTCAGAAAGGAATAGAAGTTCTGCAAAATCCCAGGTTTTGCAGATGGTCCAAAAGGATTCAATTATTAATGGTCAAAATACAGCCAAGAAATCTAGGAAAACCAGGAGAAGAATATACCCACATCCACATCCTGCTACAGGTTAAGGTTGTTTCCATCTTATTACATATTGAAGGACTACCTAGATCAGTGGTTCTCAACCTGTGGGTTGCGACCCCATTTGGGGTCGAATGACCATTTCACGGGGGTCACCAAACAACGCGATCCGCCATTTTTTTCTCAGCCGGCGCAGGGGGCGCCGCCGTGCATGCGCGCCACGCAGGGGGCGCCACAGGGGGTGCCGCCGTGCATGCGCACCACGCAGGGGGCGCCGCCGCACATGTGTGCTGCGCAGGGGGCGGCGCCACGCATGCACGCCACCTGCTCATGACCGGGATCGCCAGTCTAAAAAGATTGAGAACCACTGACCTAGATATTGTTTTACTAGGCAATTATGTACAATGCATTTATAACTGGGTATCAAGATTATAAATAGCTTAAATAGCTATTTGAAGACTTTGGTTTTTATTTATTTTATTTTATTAATTGGCTGGTAATATAACAAAGCAAAGTATTTAAACATATTTGTGTATGCAGTTGTGGAATCCTTTGGATGAAAAGTGATCAAGGTTCATGCTTTATGTATAGTTATATAGACATGCCAGTTATATAGAAATAACTTCTCTAATAGAAATAACTTCTCTAAAAGTGAGCTATGTTAGGTAAATTTTCTTTTTAAGAGCCAGATGTCTGTAGCACAATTTGTGACTGATCAAGTCTTTTTTGCAAATGCCTTGAACTCATGTTTCAATATTAAAGTTTTCATTTTTTAAAAACACTCAACATAAAAATGATATTGGGAAGGTACACAAAAATCTATACTTGACATATCTCCCTTGCAGAAATATCTCCTATGGCCTCTGAATAGGCCAAAGTTTAGTTTAGGTCAAAAGAAAATTGCTGATCTGGAAATAATAGTACATTCCGGAAAGACTTCATCCCACAGCTGGTCTCCATTATTACAAAAAGGAAACAAAACAAACATTGAAAAATGTTTATTAGTTTCATGTCAGTTCCTAGTATTACTATATCTAATAATAAATTACTAAGTGCCATAAAAAAGATTGATGACCAAGAGACTGATGACAGCACATGTAGCAACAAGCTTTAGAATTAACATGAAAATACGAAAATGGTAGGCAGCTTCTAGCTTTTAGGACCAGCCATCAAGGCTAAAGGAACAAACAGTCAACCATGTGCCACAGAACTTGTTATAGCAGCCTTTAAGGCCTTGGATAAGACATTCAGAAACATGATGTATCAATAGCCATGAAGATCAGAACAGTTCAAGTAATGGTATTCCCTGAGGCACTCTATGGAAGTGAAAATTGGACTTAGATGAAACAGGATAGAAAGCTTACCAAGTCTTTCAAACTTTTCTAGAAGCCTCCTGAGAATACCATGAACAATCAATAATATGAAAAATGATAATGATATTGTATATTTTCAACCTGACATTCTCACTTGAGATAGAAATGACCAGGTTCAAATGACCATATTTCACACATTATGTGAAGACCTAATTCTCTGGACAAACCTCTAGTGCTAGGAAAAGTGAAAGAAGGCAATAGCAGTAAGATTATGGTAGAAATGGATGCACAGCTGGAAAAAAAGAAAGATGTGGTTAGGAACAGATTTTCATAGATACAATTTATCTAAGCAGTCACTAGGAGCTGTCATCAAATTAATGGCAATGATCCAATTAATCAATGATAACGAGATTATATTAGAATATTTCCTAAATTTCTATTTGTGGGTTTCTTTGTTTTGCTTTCAGTTTGGTTATCACACTGATTTGTCTTTGGTAAAATAATTCTATTACCAATCAATATGGAAACTTTTCTTTTAACATTTTTGCTTTCTAGATTGTTCAAGAGCAACAAGCATATTGTTCCAGAGAAAGCAAATGGTTGCTTAGAAACACCTACCTATTAAACTTGTAAAAAAATGGTTAAGTCGCTGTATTACTTTATTTCTACTTGTATAGTAATATATATCCTGGAGCTACAGTTTTTGAAATATGTATTAGGATTGTTCAGTGCTTTGGCTCTGGAAACAAAAAGATGCTTGAAAATGCCTAATGGTATTAATGTAATATCAATCCACAGCTCTTTTAAACAAATGTGCTTTTCCAAAAATTGCAAATTTTCAGCCTAGCTATGGGAAAAGATACTTTGGGACTAAGAAGTTGCAGATAGGTGCTCCATACATAGCTCTGACTTACTCTGAAGCTAATTTTTGCCTTCAGTCCAAAGGAGTACAGAACTCTAATTGGTAAATGTATTTTATTTTAGAGATTTTTCTGTTATTTTCCTGGATATCCGACTTTCATGGTACCACTATATGTTACATACCATGAGATTTGGGAATAAACTAGACCTTAAATCTAAATAATATAGCATCACCTTATTGCATTTGGTTTACAGGTAACACAGTTTGGCAGGAGGATATAAAGAAATCTATAGCTTTTGCTGTGCCTTGTAATTCCACACAAAGAATGCCATCAGGCAAACCCAGCAAGACCAAGCAAATGTCATCTCTGAAATTTAGCAGAATTAAGTTTCTATTTTTTTAACAGCTCCCAAGATATTATCTCCTGAAATATTTCAGTGTCAAACTTTTAAAATATTTATCTAGCTTAAACAAACCATAGGATGTTGCTAAGGAGATATGATAACAGAAGTATGTAATGTTTCCGATGAAGGCCTTGTTGACATGTCATTTCTCCCTTGTTCTCTGGCTTGTCAGGTTTATACACATGGCATTTGACAGGACTTCCTTTCATATTATGCAGCAGAGCTGATCTTTTCTTTCTAAACAAACTGTAAGGATACCTGCCTCTCATTACAAAAAAAAAAAAGCTTGGAAATAAGAAGACTTGGTTTTGTACTCATTCAAAAGTAAGAACTGAACATTTGACTTTCAAGGCCTTTTGTCATCATTTATGATAATTAAGTGAAAAATGTTTTATGAACGTCTTTGAAATGTTCTGATGAATAAAACTGACTTGGATATGCTGCTTATTGAGGAATCAATCCTGGGTTAGGTTCTATTTGTCAGGATTACACAGGAAACTGTGTACTGTTTCCAACACATTTATATTTCTGAAGGTCATGCTTTAAATAAAAGTCATACAGTTTTTCAAGCCTCCAATTATGTACATCTTACATATATTTAAGAACACAATGCATTTTCAATACTGTTGTTTTTTTTAATCTAACTGTCTCTGAATCCTCTAGTATCCTGTTTTCCTCAAGAACTGGGATTTAATATTTGGATAGCAAAGAGAAACAGCATGTTTTCATTTATGACTAATTTAATGGTTAAATGCTTGATTCCAAATGGAATGCAGATCTAGCAGGACAAAGCAAATCAGAATATTACCAAACTAACATAAGCAAGCACTCTTATAAAAAGAGAAATATGATTACCTGTCCAAATAATTTTCTGTAAAATCTAGAAGTATTCAAGATTTCTAGTTGTGCATATCAAGCTTTCCTTTCGAATTCATTTAAAGGAAGGGAGAAAGAACTGAAAGTCACTGGATATATGAATATTGCCAAAAACAATATGTGAATATTATTCAACTTAAAAGGCAACTGACATGAGGACAGCTTTATTTTAATAAACGTGTAAAGTAAAGAAAATAAAAACTAAGATGAGAATGTGCATCAGCTCGTATATTTAATGAAATAACATTACCCAATTCTATAATTAATATATGGAATCTTTTATTCTGAAACTTCTATTGCTTCCATTATCTATATTTGGGGGGGGGGAGTTTATTATGAGCTGGAGAAAATATCACTGAGGAAGGATGTTGCTGCTTAAGCAGCAAGGCAGAGAAGCTGAAACTCCACCATTAGCTACTTTTTTTTCCTATTCTTTCCTGTTGTTTATAATTTGTAAACTACTTTAGGAACATTTTTGCCTGAAGAGAAGGATCTAAATGCCTTAAACAAATAAAGTAATAATGAAAAAAAAGAAAAGGAAAAAAAAGGAGAGTTGATATTACAATCATTCATGCTGTTAAAATGTGTAGAGTATATCTGCCTTTTCCAGGAAAGACTTAAGAAATACTTTCCCAGGATATGGCTTTCTACAGCACTGAGCATTGATTGAAACCTATATGGTTTGGGTGGTAGAGGAATTGAATAAATAAATAATATTATTTAAATCTTGGCAATATTATTCAACAAAACCTCACTCTATGTCATCTGTTAGAGCAGGCAAGTTCAGTAAGAAGGAAGAAGACCTATAGGCATTCTGGTCCTAAGTCACGTAAGAATCTAGTGGCAATGAAATTACTTTTGTCTTTCAACTGTCATTAATTTGGCATTGGAATTAATCTTAATTCAGTAAAGGTGAAAATATAGTTATAGTGTCAAAGAAAGTAGGTCTGAGTAATAGCATTGCAGTTTGCTCCAACACTAGATGATATTTCCGGCCAAAAAAAGCCACATGTAGAATGCATTGCATTAATGCATCAGAAAAAGTGGTTAGAAAATATGGGAGTCTTATATAATTGTTACTATCAAGAAAACCTTATGCTAGAACAGTATGTCATGCCTATGAGTTCTGAATGCCATAGATTTTTAAAGATAGAATTAGAGACTCATTGCAAACTATTTCTTTGTAATATGATTACTGTCCCCTTTGTTCATCTACTACATCATGTTTAACAAACTATTTCTTTATATATGATTACTGTCCCCTTTGTTCATCTACTACATCATTTTTAACATCTGAAGTTCCAAATGAACTCAGTGGAGAGAGAATTTAGCTTGGAAAATCTCAATCCAATCTCAATCAATCTAACATGGAAACAAACCTGGAGGTGCCTGGGATTTGTAAAGAAAGCACCATGCATTTAATCCCTGAGCTGAGGATATTAAACATTGGAAACACATCCCCAAATACTTTGGGATAAATTGACAAATACCGTATATTCCGGCGTATAAGACGACTTTTGAGAACGATGAAACAGCCTCCGAACTCGGGGGTCGTCTTATACGCCGAGTCATAACATTTATTTATTTATTTATTATTTCCAGCGTATAAGATGACGTTCTAGGCATGCGACTCGGTGTCGATCATCTTATACGCCGGAAATCACGTCATTTCCGGCGTATAAGATGATCGACACCGAGTCGCATGCCTAGAAAGTCATCTTATATGCTGGAAATAACGTTATAAACTACGTTTATTTCCGGCGTATAAGATGACTTTCTAGGCATGCGACTCGGTGTCGATCATCTTATATGCCGGAAATGACGTGATTTCCGGCGTATAAGATGATCAACACCGAGTCGCATGCCTAGAAAGTCATCTTATACGCCGGAAATGACGTCATTTCCGGCGTATAAGATGATCGACGCCGAGTCGCATGCCTAGAAAGTCATCTTATATGCGACTCGGCGTCGATCGTCTTGTGACCCGGCGTCGAACTCGGGGGTCGTCTTATACGCCGGGTCGCCTAATACGTAGTTTAGGTATGTAAATAGGCATGTAAATATTTGCTGCGCTGTGTGATGTCATACCAATTACAATGTTCACAAATCAAACATTATTCCAACAAATAATGTTTGCTTCCTCCCCCATTCTTTCTCTACACCATATCAAATTGATTTTTTTCTGACCTGGAATAAATAGAAAAAATAATGAGGGAAATTTTTTTTTGACAGCATGTAATTCTGATTCTATATAGATTTTTTGTTTGCTTTCTATTTTTTCCTCAATGTCTTGATGACAGTAACTTATGCCATTCAATTCTATCCTGTTTTTCTTCAAGGTTGGCTTAAACCCACAATCAGAAATTACTAATATTCAGTCAATGATCAGCTAATGAGAAAGTGTTAGATCCATCTTTTAAGATCGTTACTTCTTTCTTTTCTTATTGAACATATCTATTATCCAAATCCACAAACTAGTTATTAGCCTCAATCTAAATTTGAAATTCAGATAAAATTGAAAGCACCATTTTTAATATATATTTATTATGTTGTATCAACAGGAATAAAATGCAAGACGGAGAAAACAAAAAAACCAACATCCAACACTAAAAACAACAAAACTGTGTACAAAAAAGAAAAAATATGTTTTATCAACAGGAATAAAATGCAAAACAGAAAACAAAAAAACCAATATCCAACACGAATAAGAACAAAATTGTGTACAAAAAAAGAAAAAAAAATGAGCCAAACACAGTGGCAGAACTGTCAGCTGATTTTTTTTTTGTCCAGGCCCAGAATGGACTTCTGGAAGCAGCATCTATACAGAGAACCGGTTGTTCAGATATTTGAATCCCACCACTGCCCAAACACCAAATAAAGGAAAATACCATTAACTGACTGAGATCTTCCATACATTCCAAGAAAGGAGAAAGAAAAGTATGAGCATTCATTTACATGGCAGAAATAAAGTTGGTGTTTCAAAGCAATAATGATGTGGCATGGCCAGGTTCTGTACATAATATTTTAATTTGCTATTGTCATGGAAAAACCCAATGAAAAAGACAAGAGACAGCAACACAAAATAATAATTCTTACTTTAAGATTCAGAGGTTTATTTTGCTAATAATTTGGAACATAACGAGCATAATAACACAACATCATTTACATTAATCACCCATTGCAATGAGGTCCACTGGTATAGCAAATTCCAAATGACAGCTATAGGCCATTGGCCCCAAACTAATCCTAAACTAACATTTTTATACTTTTATTCTAACAACCACCCACTGATAGTCATTATTTTGCAAAATCAGTTCCTTGTTCTTTCGTGCCGACCAGCATTTCCACATACACCTGTGTACATCTGAAACCTTCATCCATCTGTTACTTTTAGTTCCTCTTTTCCCACAGTTACAATGCTTCTGTTCCAAATATACATGTAAAACTATCTACTTTGCAATTTCTTATTGCACACAATGCAACAGCTCAGCAGATTACAAATAATTCATTTACATTGTGAAACAGTTTGAGTTAAAGCTTTGTTTTAAATCATTGCTGTGGGACTTATCTTACTTTATGAGTAAGGGGCTATATTTTCATCTCCCACACTATGATTCATTAGCACATGTATTTTAGTTAAGAACTTTGAATCAAAATGGTTCTTATAATTCAGGAAGCGGTACTTTTAATAAGGAAAAGTGGCATTTACCCTAACCCTAACCCTGTGTACCAAAGATCTGCATTATTCAATTTAACAAATATCTACAGTTATTCGTTTGTTTGCTGTTTTATTTTTCATCTGCAAAGAATGAACATTAGCTCAAAGGTTACTTGAGTCAAAAATTACTCATTTTATGAAGTATTGGATGCTTGACTTTAATATGAATACATCCATATGCTGCCTCCCTTTCTCCAATCTGGAATTATAGCAAAGTATGTTGAGATGTTACAATGGCTATCTAGCAACAAGCAATTGTATTTCATTGTCTTTCTGCTGTCTGATCTGTTTTGCATTTGGAATAGTTGGAGTGATGACTCTATGACATCTGAATCATACTTATTAAATACAATGTGTTTTCACAAAAGTCTTTTTAGAATCATATTAAAACAAAGAAAATTAAGTATAATCATGTTCTGAAACTGGGTCATAGTTACGCGGCATATATGGAAAAAATAGAACCATACCTGCATATTTTCAATACAGTGTGTTATGCAAACTTTTTAACACTGAAGGTAGATTAGCATTCTAGGCTTAATATTCTACCTAGTAATGACTTAGAAAAATCAGGCATTAGTGTAATGACATATTTTTTCAAACATGCGGAAGATGGAAGCTCAGTTAGGTTGGCCTGAAATTTGAATCTGCAACTTGCAGATAGGCATACTTAGAATTGTGAAAATCCCATTTACTGTCACAAAGGAGCTGATCTATGGAAAGTTTGTTATTGTCAAATATCTGCAATAATCAGCATGACACACTCTTTCCAGAAAACTGGTGGGAATGCACTGTATCATCACTTCCAACCATTAAAATGCCCTTTGTTTATGTGCAATTTAACTTGATCGTTGTTTTCAGGACAAATATACACTTCAGAACAAAACATTGCATATGGCAACCTGCAACTTTTATTATTATTTCCATCTCATGAAATCACTGTGAATAAATCAATCACGTAAAGGATTAAGCAGTCTCCCTCCCTGCAGGATAATTCTAAAAAACTGAGTTGAATAGGAACAAATTTAATATGATAAAAGAATTATGAAAAGGAAGATAAATTCAAAAAATGGTGTAGATCTGGTCAATGGTGATAGACAATAACATTGCAAGGTGGAGTGGGATAGAGTAGGAGAAACAGAACCCATTGTAGACCTATGCAAGAGGAGTTGGTTGACAGATCAGAATGTTGGCAACTGTTCCGTTCTAAGCCCTAGTATTGGCAGGTCTTTTTACACATATAAATAAACCTGCCATATACCAGATGGGTGGAAGATGGCAATAGTTGTCCCCATATATAAAAAAGGAAATAAAAAGGATCCTAGGTAATTATAGACCCATCAGTCTGATTGACATTGCAGCAAAAATATATGCTAGGTTTCTTTTAAATAGAACTGAAATCTGGGTTGAGGAAAACCATATCCTCGCAAAAGAACAAGCAGGTTTTATACAAAGCCGATCCACTATTGATAGCCGCTTTTACTTGAACCACCTAATTGCCAAATATGCCTATAAGAGGAGACCCCTGTTTGTTGCTTTTATAGACCGGACAGCAGCATTTGATATGGTTAACAGAGAAGTACTATGGAGTAAACTGACAGTTCTTAAAATAGAACCTAGACTGCTGGCTTTGATTAACACCCTTTACACAAGTACCTGTTTGAGGGTGCAGCATTGGGTTAATGGGGCTCTGACTAACTGGATACATGCAAATAAAGGGGTAAGGCAAGGGTGTATCCAGGCAAGGGTGTTTATTATTTAGTTTATATATCAATGATTTGCCAGGATTAATGAAGGATCCCATGGTACATATGCCAATGATCCTAAATACATACTGTAACAGCTTGCTCTATGCGGATGATATGATTTTATTATTGTATTCACAAGTAGGATTACGTAGGCTATTAAGAAGATTTAGCTCTTATTGCCAGGATAACTCCCTAACCACTAGTAAATCTAAATAAAAAGTCATGGTGTTTGGAAAACATCAACAGAAACATAGATGGCAATTAGATGGTGAACTAATTGAACAGGTTAACACCTTTGTATATTTAGGCATAACCTTTTCCAAGATTGGATCTTGGGCCTGCTATCACCAGTGGAGTACACTTAGAGCAAAAGCCTATTTGAATTTACTGCTTAAACTAAAGAATCATAGTTACCCAGGGTCCCTAGCCCCATTAATTAAAGTATTAAAGCTAAGGTTACCCCTATGCTCTTGTATGGAGTAGAAGTTTGGGCTCTATACTCAATCACAGTCCTAGAACAAACACAGTCCCAGCATTTGAAATGTATTTTGGGTGTAGATCTAAGAAGATCTGCTGCAGCAGTTAGAGCTGAATTGGGAATTCATACAATTTATGCGTTATCCAAAATTAGAGCATATAACTACTGACATAAAATGAAATGGAGACTGATAGACTCCCCAAGTTATGTCTACTAGAGCAAATAAAATCGCAATCACAAATCTCCTGGCTCACCAAACTAACACATTTTGCAAGACATTTTCTCTCTTGCATAACAGGAGAACAATTTAAAAAAAGAGAATTAAGGATATAGAATTAAGGATATAGAATACAAAATGACATAGCTATCCTTAGTAAGGTGGATAACTTGAAATGGCTAGGCAAACACAAATGTACTTTTCAAATAGACAGCTATTTGAAGTTACAACTGCCAAAACATCTAAGGGAGATATTTACGTGAGCGAGATTCGAACAGCTCGACACAACGGTTAGATATGGGAGATTCCATTCTATACCTTACAACGAACATCTCTGCATTTGTGGAGCGCCAGAGGTAAAAGACCTGGCTCACATCCTATTCGACTGTTGCCTGTATAAGAGGGAGACAGACAGGTCCCTCAGTCTATATACCAAACAAATGACCCATTGGGATCCCCATATCAAAACAACTTACCTTATGTGTGGCCAGAATCTGAAAATAATATATAAAATAGCACAGTACTTAAGCAAAACGGTCCAGTTGAGATCTGCAAATATGGGACTGTTTGGGGTAGATTGCAGGGATGACACTGAAATATAATTTTATCATATTTTATCTATATCTTAAATTATTGTATTTTATTCCAATTTCATTTTAGACTGTATTTTATCCCAATTTCATTTCATTTTATTCCAATTTCATTTTAAACTGTATTTTATCTAACTCCATTTTAAATTGCTTTTATCAAATTTTAGTAATAATTTGTTGTGGAACTTTGCACTTTGATATGGCCCAAGGGCTAATCAATCAATCAATAATAAAAAACAGTGCCTATTTGTATATATGTGTGGCAGCCAGGATGATAGATTGTTAAAGAAGAACCACATTAGGAAAAAATATTTAATTTACCCAAGTGAAATTTGGCTTGATATTTAAAAAGAAATATTGAGTCCCAAAATGGGTAGATCTAGGAGAGAGAGAAATAGAGAATCCCATCATGCATCATTGTGAGAGAGTTAGCTTTCTGTGGGAAAGTTAGCTCGGGAGTGGCTTGGAATATTGCCAACTGTTTCATTTTAAGCTTCCCTCTTCCTTCCCTTTCATGTTTCACAGACCAGAACTATTATTAGAGTTAGAAAGAATCCAGAAACTATGCTCTGCATTCTTTATCTACCTTGTTTTATGAGTGACTATGGGATCCATGTGGAGTCCAAATATCCAAATGTGGTAATGGAAACTGATACTTTATTTTCAGTAAAGTATATATTTTTCTCTTTAAAAGTAAGGTGTAAGGATTTTGGTGGGCACCAAGGAAGATAATTGTGTATTCACTGATACTGATTCAAGTAAAGAAAAGTTAGAAACACAAACTGAAATATATCAGGTTTTCATGAAAGGCAGTGTCTCATGCAAGCTTCCCCAATTTAGTGTTCTTCATATTTTGGAGTACTGTAATTCTCAGAATTTCTATCAACTCCATATACATATGGTTTCAATATATCAGGGGTGAGGAGAAGAAAAGTAACTCAATTGGAAAAGATCGTCTGATTTTAAAAGTATGTTCATACAGTATATGGCCTTTCAAGGTATTAATCACAAAAATTAATAAACCTTCTATTTGTGATTTTCTCTACCTGGAAATTAATCAGAATCTGACTACTGAATAGTGTCATATAAACTAAAAGCATAGAGTGTTTAAATTAAGAGAAAAAGAGCAGAAGTTTCCTTGAAAAAAGAATGGAGTTAATTTGCTTTGCCCCATTTACTAAGTCAGGTTTACTGCTGCAAATCATCACTTGAGCCACTGCAGCAGAAATATCCCTTAATATACAGCTGTGCTAAACATCAACATTATCATAAGACTGTGGCGTTGAACTATGGCACGTGTGCCACAGGCGGCATGCAGACCCGTCCCTCTGGCACATGCACCATCGCCCCAGAGGGAGGCGGGGCCAGACTGCTCCCCGCTCCCTCTCCACATGTGTCTGTATTCTTTCTCTCTTTCTCTCTGAGAGTCAGGGAGCAGCTGCAAGAGCTGGGTAGATCCGGGTTGGATCATGGAGGCAGCTGCCAGCATGAGTCCAGTTAAGCCTCTGGAGCAATTTCGTATCACCATCACCACTGATCCGTGCCGCTGAGGCCTTTTCGAAGCCTCTGGAGCTTGCATCCATGGCTGCGGGGCGATTTTGGGGTGCGCCAGCGGCCCGATCCGGGTTCCGGAGTCCTGCAAAAGGCCTCTGCCCCATGGATCTAGGGCTGTATAGCTATTTTGTGCCCCCCCACAGCTGATCCATGTCGCTGAGGCACCGCAAAATTGCCTGACGGCCATGGATGTGAGCTCCAGAGGCTTCAAAATAGGCCTCAGCGGCCCAGATTGGCGGTAAAGGGGTACAAAATTGCTATGCAGCCCTAGATTTGTGGGACAGAGGCCTTTTCCAAGCAGCGGTGATGGCAGGGCAGTCCATGCACGGGGTGGGGGGTGGGAATTGGCAGCAGCGGCAGGACAATCCATGTGGGTAGGGGGAAACAGTGGTGGCGGTAGGACAATCCATACGGGGGGGAATGGCGGTGGCAGGACGATCCATGCGGTTGGGGGGAACGGCAGTGGTGGCAGGATGATCCATGTGGTGGCTTGGCCAGGGCTCGGGAGACTGATTGGGGCACCAATCTTTCCTCTCCCCGCCATGGCAGCTGCTAGTCACCACGCTGTGGGTTGCCTTTTATCTCATCCAGGAGCCGGGGAGAGGTTGCCTGCTCAGCCATGTGTGCCACGGAGGCAGCGGAGGCAGCAGTGGCTCAGGCAGGCACTGGTAAGCCAGGCAGGGCAGAGCAGGGATAAGCGAGCAAGAGCAGGGTTCGGTGGGGAGATTGGGATCTGGCCCCTTTTACCTCATCCAGGGGCAGGGGAGAAGTTGCCCGC